TGTGGAACTCCCTTTCCTTCTCCTGTTTCCTTGTGAGCTATAATCTCCAGCTATTCAAGTGTAATGTCAATCGACAACTCCAGTTGCTTTGATCTATCCACTACCCTCATCCTTTCTTCTATCACTCCTATCTGATCTTGCTATTTCCTGTAACCCCTTGCATCCTAGTGGCTTCCCGCCTTGCTTGGGGTGAAACGCTTAAAAAAAAAAAAAAAAAAAAAAAACACTACATAAAACAATGTCTTCAACAATTATTGTTTTTTTTTAACCGAGAGAAGGTACTAAAGGAAAATAAAAAGAATGTAATAGAAGTCAATTGTAGGGAAAATAAATGGACGGTTGCTTGCATGAGAAACATCCCAAGTGCTGAACTACGAATTGGAGATACCAGACAACAAATTAAATATCTGTGAAATGTTTTAACAAGGGCGAGAAGTGTGATATAGAAATCGAAAGGCCCATTGGGATAGCGAAAGATGCCTTCCAAAAGCTAAGCAAAGTATTAAGATTAGAAACAAAGTAAAGTATATGTAATGTCAGTCTTCCTATATGGCAGTAAATGCTAGGCAATCTTTTCACAAAAGAAGGTACAGAAAGTGGCTTCGACGAACGATATTAAGCATACAATGAACTGAGTGTTATACTAGATCATACCTATTCTATTGTAAATAGACTCTCCCACAGATACTAATTAGTAGTAGTAGTAGCAGTCGCCAGGGGTCAGAGTGAGTTGTGTGAGTCAGTCAATGTCGGACATTAAAGTAGATTGCTGCGCCATTAACTATTATTGCAAGTTCCTAACGTTTTGTACGTCGAACCTAATTTAGGACCAACTCAGTAAAATACAAGCCTCCATTGTGAAAACGACTCTAGAACACTGAGTATGTGAGTAATAAAGGCGGTTTAAGGAAAGTGTAAACAGCAAAGGACATTTAAACTCAGAAAGAGGGGATTGAAATTTCTAGGGAAAATATTAAGGAAAAATGGACTTGGGAATTTGACGCTCACGTGACATAAACTATGCCAGAGGGGGAGAAACAGCGAGTAACTTACCTAACAAGTTTGTGTAAATAGATAGCAGAACAGAGGCTTTGAGGGATATTAAAAAAAAAGCCTTACTAAGAGCTACAAATTTTGCAAAGTTGCTGAGAGCCATGATCACACTCGTCCTGAAGGGAGACGGTACATTGAAGAAAAAGTCTTAACAATTTTGACATCGAATGTGTCAATGATTGAGACATTTGAAACACTTTATCCTGTATGAAGGTGTTTTTTTAATGTATTTTTCTTCTTCGGGCAGAAACCGGGGGCTACCAATTCTAAGAGTTCTTAAATAAAAGCCCATGGCCATTCTGAACTCCCGCTAAAAACACTTTATTCTGTATGTAAACACTGTAAATATAAAAGAACTGTTTTTTTTAAGGATTCTAGATTTTTTGGCTCAGAAGTGGGCAATACATCTGTCTAAGGGGTCTGCTGATTATATGTCCTGAATATTTAATTGACAGATGTTTGCTGGTTTCAGATTTGTCCAAGACTTGCAGCTGTGTATCCAATGACTCTTATCTATACACACGAGGATCACTTGATATTTACCAGTGTTACTTTGTCTACCGACATTTTGTCTTTTCCTTTTGACTTGTTTTCATATTAATATTCATAATCGCTTATGGCGTTCACATTACTTCTGCGTATCGTTTGCAGTTTCCAATTTGTAACGATAGAAGAAGAAGAAGAAGAAGAAGAAGAAGAAGAAGAAGAAGAAGAAGAAGAAGAAAGAATCAAGAGCATGAGAGAAAAAAGAGATAAAGCCGATGTGATGAGGCGAATTCAAGGAAGAAAAAAGAAATGTAAAAGAATATAGAAGCTGTCCAATAGAGAAGTTAGAAGAAGTAAAAAATGAGACATACACAGACAGAAGATTGTTAGGGAGAATATAGGGAGATAACGATATATATTTATATGTCAAGAACTATATAGCAAAATTAAAAAATCCCAGCATCCCTCGTTCGTGCGCATGTGTAATCGCACAAACTTAACAAATTTAATCTGATGAATCCACTTTGTCATATATTTTTCACATTTCAAATATATATATTATTCGCAGACAGTACTGTTTCGTTGCATCACAGCTCTTCAGTGCGACTAGACATTTGATTGCATCAAGCCAGGATCGAAACCCGACCGATTTGGTGTCAGTCAGAGATTCTACCACTAAGCTATCATCACTCGTCAGAGAGAAATTCCTAATATTGCTGAATATTTATGAACGTAAAAAGAAACGTCAATGAGTAAGCGGGCTTCAATTCATTTTACTTTGCATTAGGAAAGGTGACTGTTTATAGAATCAGCTTATCTTTCCACTGCTCAACTGAAATATATTTTCAGGAGTTTAATTTTATATATATATATAGTAATAATAATACAAATGAATAACATCTATCGAAATACATGATAATTTTATGCTAGCTGGTATTTTTGCGAAAAATATTTAATAGATAACTAGATCAACAATACTTACTAGATTAATACATTTTAAAGAGACAGGTTTTTTGACGAATTTCATGTATCAGACTCTCTGACACTGCTGAGCGATATTTCGCGTAACACTGAAGACGGTCAAGTTGCTTGAACTTTTATTCATTTATTCTCTTTATTTTTAGTGGAAATCCATATATGAGTAAATGCTCCGTTTATTTATTAAACGGTATATTTATTTATTTATTTTTGTCTACCGGTCAGAATATTCGTAATTTATGTGTAGCAAGGTCTATTGTATTATCCTAATGGCTTTCAGTTACTCGGTAACAGCTACATTTCAGCTTACACTAGAGAGTATTGAGTAGAAAAAATAAGTGTGTTTCCGAAGGCGGTTATTTTAGCTAATTTGTAGTGTTGTTTGTTAAATTTTTTTCTCATTATTTATTATTTTTATTGATTACTTATTTGTTTGTTGTTGGCAGGATAGAAACATAATTCAAATCAGCTCCAGATGCCACCGAGAACATCACAGACGCGCGCGTGCGTACAAACACACATATATATATATATATATATATATGTATATTGCTAAAAGCGGGTGTTACAAAGGGTCATAATTTCCGATTTCTGGTTCAAAAGGATTTTGATATGAAAATATTATTATAGCTCAAAAAACCTTTTGTATCGAAAAACATTTTGAATCAAAGATCGAAAATTATGAGTCGTTGCATACATACTGAAATGTTCCTTTTGAGTGCATTTGGAGTGGGCTGAGAAGAACGTATGTATATTTCATTTAAACACCTACCGATGCATTTCCAATACATTTCATTTCCCACCACGGTATAGCTTTAAGCGTATGCTTTATTTAAGGGTAACAAGCGCACAATGTCAGTGATAGCTCTTATGTAAATAGAAAAGTGGACACTGAGATCTATACTGAGTGACGACAGTCTGTTTTCTCAGCCTCGACTATTTATATATGCTGGTCAGAGTTTGTTTATATTTCTGAGATGAGGTATTATGTACAGTATTTACATTAGTCCTCATCTTTGTCACAACGTTTCGGCCGTTGTACGCTCCGGCCTTCTTCAGGTGGTTGGAATTTCGAACTGAACCCTTTATTTCGATCACTGGGATAGACTGTTCTAGTTCCAGGTGCCATGTATGATGGATGTCAGTTATCAGTTATCTCCTGCAAATTTTCCCTCTGAAAGTTTTCCACTGCCTTAACCAGGTATTGAACTCACCTTTTTTGGGTGTGTCACTGGATCTAACCAACGCCTTTATCCACTGTGCCATGTGTCCTTGAGAACATCTAGGTATGAACTTCTGAGTATTATAAACCTAATGTTTTCAGCCTCATTTTTACCAGTGCTCATATTGCAATTTTGCTGTTATCATTGCATGTCTTTACCAGAGTTCATATTGCAACTTTGTTATCATTGCTTTTCTCTGGCACTCCTTATTACTGGTTCCCATATTGTATTTATTTCTATGCTTGGTCGGCTCAGGAGATTTTTCAGCAGGAGATAACTGATAACTGACATCCATCAAATATGACACGTGGAACTAGAACAGTCTACCCCAGTGATCGAAATAAAGGGTTCAGTTCGAAATTCCAACCACCTGAAGAAGGCTGGAGCGTACAACGGCCGAAACGTTGTGACAAATATGGCGACAAAGATGAGGACAATAGTCCGACTAATGTAAATACTGTCTATGCTGGTCAGTCGAGCATTATGGATACTAAGGCTTATTGTATTATTCTAACGGTTATTGGGTAACAGTCATATTCCAAACTGTTCTGGAGATTATAGAGAAATAATTGCAAATTCGACTACAGTTATTTACAGCTATTGCATAGTGTTGTTATTATATTTCCTTGTGTTCATTTGTAGTTTGTTCATTTTTTATTATTGTTGTAGCATACCTACAGACGATAATAAATAGAGTAGTAAATACTGTATGTTGGTCTGCAGTTGAAGATTCAATGGGGAATTCACTTGACTCACTTCTATTAGTTAACTACTTTTTCTACGCGCCGCTGGCGAATCTTATATGTGTTGTTCGTGTATTATTGTTCATTACCAACCTTCGTGTGATTATTCAATTCAGTAACTTTCCCTAGGTTACAACAATTATCTACTTGATTTGTTTATTTTGATTTTTTCATTTATTCGTTATTTTTTTTATTTTTAATACTGTGGAGTTGATTATTTGTTTAGTTTAAAGTATTGGCTTTGTTTATTGATTGATTCATTCATTTTCTAAGGCTTATTAACCCTATGCAGCCAGAAAATATCTTTTTTAGATTACAAGAACTGTTGAGATCAGAATGAGTTAGTAATAAAAGTCTAACTAATTAAACCATAGCTGTGGAGGAGAAGAGATGGATGCATATCTTTCCCAAGCGTATTTGCTCATAAGTGAATATAACAAACCGAACGAGAATTTGAACTCTGCTCTCCAATTAACAATACGGAACCATTATCCATTACACCACTCTAACGTCTATGCTTACATCACCTGGTATTACCAAGCGATCACACATCCAAGTACTGATCAGGATCGACGTTGCTTAACTTCTGTGATCGTACGGGAACCAATGCTTCAATGTGATGTGGACGCAAGCCTATTGGCTTTATCTAAAGTATGTTACATTATCTGCGTTGTATATACACCTTTACATTTTAATATAATGACTATTCTTAATAACAGTCAGTAATCTATCATCCATTGATTTTGCTATTTTTTTTACTTCAGCAGGTTCAATTTCCGACATGGTCTAATTTCCGACATTGACGCCTATTGGTCAGTTTTGCTGTTATATTGTCTGCTGCTTTCATATAATTTCATCTTCACAATCGACCATAGATTTTCGATCGGATTCAAATCAGGACTTAGTGGTAGCCATTACATTATCTTCTCTCCTGTAAATCATTTATGCTCAAAACATTAAACTTAGATACATGAGAAGGAGAATTGTCGTGTATAAATACACACTTCACTCTGAAACTGCGAGACTGGAACTTGTACCATGCAAAGAAGGCCTTGTTCCTAAAATCGCAATAGTTAGAACTGTTCAGTTTAATTCCTTAATCGACTTTGAATAGTCCAATAATAGTTTGTACGTCCCTTACCATAACATTAGCGGCTCATTGTTGCCTTCCTTTAGCCACAAGCACATCTAAATTGAATAAAATCCGTCCTTTGGCCAATCCATCAGGTCCATCAAATATCACTCAAGAATCGTACATGAAAATTGACTTTTATAAAGTCAATTTTCATGTGTTTCTTGGCCCAATTTTGATGCTTTAAAATATTTGCTTTAGTGAGATGAGTTTGCCTAGGATTTTTTTTTTTTTAAAGATCCCAATTCACAAAATATTTTACAATTTTGTCCTTCTTGATTCTCTCAATTCCAGTCTTTTGAAAAATCTGAGCACTGGTCAAAAGCGGTTGTTTCGCTATAAATCGCTTTAGTTTCAGTTCATGTCGAGGTTGTTACAGTTGTTACCTCCCCGGATCAGGGTGGACCTGGGAACAACGGCAACGGTTCCATGCTCGTCAAAACCTCTCGATCATATGCCTTGTTGCCGGATGTAGTTTATTGTAGTAACCAGGACGCTTTAGGTAACGTAGTAAAATTATATATATATATATATATATATATATATAAGCAAGTGTAAATGGATAAAATCCGACAGAATGTAGAAATTTTGAAAAACAAACAAAAATCCATAAATGTAGTTAAAATGAAAGAATTGTCGACGTCAGACGTTTCGGTTTTAATAAACCATTTTCAAGACAAAATTCATTAAAATACAAATTCAGTTCAATATGACGAAAACGATGGACATAAAACACAAGTCTTATCCAAGAGTAAAACAGATAACTGAAATTTTTAAAAGATCAGCTTTCCGTTTAACGTGGTCACGCCGTAGTCACATGGGCGACGCTCCCATAACGTATTCCTAAAAAGTTCGTGATTATTTTAAAATTCCTGTATTTCCGGATAAGCCTGCAATCTTCCATGTTGTAAAAAACGAATTTAGGTTTGTGTTTTCAGTAGACAGTATATAAGCAAGTGTAAATGGATAAAATCCGACAGAATGTAGAAATTTTGAAAAACAAACAAAAATCCATAAATGTAGTTAAAATGAAAGAATTGTCGACGTCAGACGTTTCGGTTTTAATAAACCATTTTCAAGACAAAATTCATTAAAATACAAATTCAGTTCAATATGACGAAAACGATGAACATAAAAACACAAGTCTTATAACGTAAAACAGATAACTGAAATTTTTAAAAATTTCAGCTTTCCGTTTTAACGTGGTAAGACTTGTGTTTTTATGGCGACGTTCCCATAACGTATTCCTAAATTTGATATTTTAAAAATTTCAGTTGAATCTGTTTTTTATTAAAACCGAAACGTCTGACGTCGACAATTCTTTCATTTTAACTACATTTATGGATTTTTGTTTGTTTTTCAAAATTTCTACATATATATATATATATATAAATTATAAATTACATTGGAACGTGCAAGTTACTGCGGCAAAAATGCATATTTGTATCGACGACAAATGACGTCTCGCCAGGGGGTTATCAATGGTCGTAATAATAGATTATATTATATTATTACCATCATTGTTACCGCCTGACATGTTTGTAGCGGTAACTTGCATGTTCCAATGTAAGAGTTTATAATAAATACTTATTGCTCTACTTCTTGTATTGAGCACTTTTTAAATTAATGCTATGAACGTTTAAATTTATATTCTTTTCGTTCTTTTACATTTTATATATATATATATATATATATATATATATATATATATATATATATATATATATATATATATATATACATTTCATTACAACAGACAAGCTTATTTAGTTTTTTTATACAATTTCTCATGCGATCTAATATTTTTTCTTTTCAGATGAATTATTAGATCGCATGAGAAATTGTATAAAAAACTAAGTGAAAGCACCTTGTCTGTCGTATTCAATGAAATGCGCGCGCGCGCGCACACACACACACACACATATATATATATATATATACAAATGTAATAGAACGAAAAGAATATAAATTTAAACGTTCATAGCATTAATTTGTGCATGAAAGAAGGATTGCTGCCTAAATATACAAATTTTAAATATATATATATATGTATGTATGTGTGTCGATTTTAATATAAAAATGATACATTTTTCCCGTTTTGCCTGGACCAAAATGACTTTTTGTTCCGTTTCCTCTCGTCTCACTGAAATATTAATAAACTGTCAAATTTAGGCTATCTCTAATTACTAAGATCGCGTTGTAAACTTTGACTTATATAAGTAGTTGATCGCATCTCACATTCTATTTTATCGAAAAATATACCTCCAAATCTATAAAAGAAATGTATTAGTATACTAAAAAAAGACACTCAAAATTCATTGTTATTTTTTGTTTGTCTATATCTCTGAGATGAGGTATTCTTATAATTTACATTCACCTGAAGAATGCCGGAGCGTACAACGGCCGAAACGTTATGAATATGGTAATGAAAATGAATCCGAATAATATAAATAATGGAAGTTATTTTTGTTTGTTTGAAAATCCACTTTTCCAGCGTTTATTTCTGTCTATGATCTATTATCGTTTCTTGTCTGCACAAGGCGGGTGCTGGGGTATCCGTATGATTGAGGGAAGGGAAAGCCAGATTATATATAATCTACCCAGTTTTATTTTATTTTACATCTGCACATATTGCAGCAAGCATATGCAGTGTTTGTGACGAGTTAGCCAAGGACGTTGACAGCGAAGCGATATATACGCAAAGAAAAAATAACAAAGTTCATCACCGTTCTGTGTTTAGAGTGCAAAGTGGTTTAACTAGGACGATGTCAGTAAATGTAATGTAAAAAAGTAGCAAATTCGAATTCTGTGCTACGCGACATTTTTTCTGCACTTGTGTTAGTGAGAAATGAAATTGCGAAACCGAAACACGAAAGTTCATTGGGATAGTGAAAGATGCCTTCCAAAAGTTAAGCAAAGTATTAATAATCAGGAAAATACCGTTAAAAAGAAAGAAAAGAAATGATATAGATATGTAATAACGGTCTTCCTATATGGCGGTGAATGCTGGACAATATCACTATGGATGAAGTACTTGACTCCTGTCATGCTTTATCTTTAGAAGAATCAGATTAGAACAAAAACAGGATATTGCTGTCAAATATAGGCTACTACTGCTTAATCATCGTTTTCCGTCCTTGATAAGGTTTACAGTCATTTACGTGGTCATATTGGGAAGGCTTATTCTCAACTCTGCAGCCTCTCTTCCACAATCGCAACGTCATAAGCCCGTTGCTACTCTATCGCTATTTCCATGGCCAGTGTTCAGATGAGATGAATTCCTTTTTCCAACAGTTTAGACCTGTGGTGTGTATTTGGGCAGCAATCCCTCTTTTATACAAGTTTCGTTAAAAACGATGCCAAGGTATTGTGATTAAATGTTTTGTTTAATTTTTTTGTGTACGTAGAAGTAAAAGGAAAAGCCAACAGTCACTAACATTAACTATGAACGCGACCACAATGTGCTGACCATAAATAATTCCTATAACTTTAGACACATACATAAAAAACAGACAATCAATTAAAAAGAAAAAAAAAGAAAATCAAATAAAAATCGCCCTTCATAATGGTTAAAAGAATAGCCGAAAGCGCTCGGATATTCAGAACCTTTGGACAGTTTTTACACACCTTTCGTTCAGAAAAGAAAACACTTGTACGAACACAAGAAAAAATTAAATAAAAAGCTTAATCGCAGTACCTTGTCAGTCATCTTTAACGAAATTTACATATATATATATATATATATATATATATATATGTGTGTGTATGTATCATTTATTCGAAAATTATAACATAAATATGTTATAAAATATTAGTATTTTTGGGATATTGGAATTTATTCCGCAGACACCAATCCTGTACTTATATATATATATATATATATATATATGCATTGAGAGAGAGAGAGAGAGAGAGAGAGAAAGAGAGAGAGAGAGTAAGAGAGAGCGGATATTTATAGGTTTATCAGGTCATCTATCACGGTCCTGTCGGAACGTCATTAAAGTTGCATTCTGTGTCTCCATAGTTGGTCAGTAACTTTGTGATAACTCGGCGACCAACCCTTCTTGCTCCATGGCTGGGTGTCCGGTTATTGCTTTGCTCGCCAACAATGTCCTCCAAAGCGCATTCTGCGTTCATGCAAGATTGTAGAAATATCAAGAATGGGTTCATAGAGCTGTGATTTAGTTAGATGTTGTCTCCAAGGGATGTTAATTATTGCTCTCCTTGTTTGTAGCAAAATTTCTCCCTAGCTTTTGCAATGCTTCCTTGATATCCCAATAATCTGATTTCAGTGTCGCACTTTCCGTCATCAGTTAAAACACTTCCCATATATTTAAATTTCCGAATTTGTTTGATTTTGGTATCTCCGACATGCAATTCGCACATCCATTTTATTCAAGGCGGCAGATCCTTTTTCAGTCGAATTTTAGGCATCTAAAAAGATTCGACAGATTTTATTTATTCACTTGAGATAGTTTGTATTAATCTTTACTGTTTGA